TAGATAGATAGATAGATAGATAGATAGATAGATAGAGATAGATAGATAGATAGATAGATAGATAGATGGTGCACATTCCAGACTTGACTCCTACCAGTAGTTTCAAGAGAAACAGCTCATAATTCCATGTTCTGACTGTAATTCCACGTACATGGAGTATGGTTTTTTTCACTCTTTCCCAAGCAAACAGTACAGGCGGTCCTTGACTTACGACCACAACTGAGCCCAAAATTTATGTCGTGTAGGCAAGGCATTTGTTAAGTGAGTTTTGCCCCAGTTTATGACTTTTCTCGCCACAGCTGTTAAGTGAATTACTGCAGTCGATAAGTCAGTAAGCCACTTGTAAAGTGAATCTGCTTTGCTTGTAACAAGGTCGCAAAAGGACATCATCACTTGATGCTGGGCAACCGTCATGAGTCAGCGGTCAAGTTTCTGAATTTGGAGCATGTGACCGTCGGGATGCTGCAACGGTTGCAAATGGTTATAAGTCACTTATATTGTAACTTTGAACGGACAGAAAATGGACTGTTGTGAGTCGAGGACTACCTATTCCTGGACTGGACTGGACTGGAATAGAATAGAACCGAACAATGGAATGAGAACAGAACAATGGAATGAGAATAGAATAGAATATTGGAATGAAGAATGGAATGGAATAGAATAGAACAGGGAATGGAATGAGAATAGGAATAGAACAGGGAATAGAATTTTGGAATGAAGAATGGAATGGAATGGAATAGAAATGCTGGCTGGGGAATTCTGGGAGTTGAAGTCCGGACATCTTCAAGTTGCCAAGGTTGACAAACACTGGAATAGAATAATGGAATGAACATTAGAATATTGGAATGAAGAATGGAATGGAATGGAATAGAACAGAACAGAGAATGGAATGAGAATAGAACAGAACAGAACAATGGAATGAGAATAGAATAGAATATTGGAATGAAGAATGGAATAGAATAGAATAGGGAATGGAATGGAATAGAATAATGGAATGACATTAGAATATTGGAATGAAGAATGGAATAGAATGGAATAGAACAGAACAGGGAATGGAATGAGAATAGAATAAAATAGAATAGAGTAACAGTTGGAAGGGACCTTGGAAGTCTTCTAGTCCAACCCCCTAGGAGACTGACAGGGGAATAACACTGCAAAAAACACTGAGTCAAGTAATCATGGCATATCGTGTGTGTTTTTGGTTACCCAACCTGAACATCAAACTCTGTGGCTTACCTGTTGAGTACGGCTTCTTTATCTGCCAAGCGATTCTTTATTTTACTTGTCAAATAGTCCAAAAACAGAGCCCAGATGTCTAAGCAGGAAAAGTAACCTTCATGCGTGGGCTGAAACGGGTACATCAAAAACAGGTTGTTTAGCCACACAACTGGTGGTGAACAGACACCTTTGTAAGTCATTCCATAAAAAAAATTAAACCTCTCCTATTGCAGTATCTTTCCCCTGCCACACCCACAAAGCCACGCCCACAGAACCGGTAGTAAAAAATTGAATCCCACTGCTGCACTGATTACATGATATCAACTCGATGTCATCTCTTAGCAACCACAGTGATTGACTGTCCCAAAAATAAAATGTCCCCAACTGCGCCTTTTAGGTCTCTCAAGTGGTACATTCATTGTTTTTTTTCATTGAGCACCTCCACATGGTTGCTGACCATTTTCTTTGCTTTTCTTCCAACTTTCTTAGTAATACGGGCTTCTCAAAGGAGCTGGCTTTTGCGCTGATTAGGTGGCATCATTATAGCATTCAGCAATCACCGCGATCCGCGATGGCGAACCTGTGGCACGCATGCCACAGGTGGCACCTGGAGCCATTTGTTAGGGCACGCGAGGCGTTGCCCTGTCAGTTGGCTAGCTGACTTCGGCCTTCTTTTGAGGCCATTTTTCGCCCTCCAGAGGCTGCAGGGAAGCCCCATGAAGCCTCCGGAGCACGAAAAACCGCCCCTATGGGCAAACCGGAAATTCAGGAACGGACTTCCAGTTTGCTCATAGGACCGTTTTACGCCCTCCGGAGTCTTCAGGGAAGCCCCCTGAAAGGTTCCGGAGGTCGAAAATCGGCCCTACAGACAAACCGGAAGTCACCATTCCCGAACTTCTGGGTTCCCCGTAGGGCTGTTTTTTGCCCTTCAGGGAAGGTTCAGGGGATCTCCTGAAGCCTCTAAAGGGCGGGGGGGGGGGAGCTGGGAGAGGCTGGTTTGCCCTCCTTAGGCTCTTAGAAAGCCTCTGGAGCCTGGGGAGGGTGAAAAAAAACCTGTAAAAACCGGGTGGGAGATAATCACGCGTACATGCACGCATTGGGGAGGCGCATGCATAGCATTATGGGCGTGGCACACCCGCGCACAACCTCCCTGCATGAGAGCCAAAAAAGGTTCGCCATAACTGACCTAGATATTCTCCACAGGGACCCTTCCCCAACCTGGCCCTTTAGGAGTTGCAACGCTTCACCATAGTCACTCTGACCAAGTCCATCTGACTTGCTCCTGAGTTTCTTCCTCTTCCCTTTCACCTTTCCCGAGAATTACAGGTGACTCAGGTGAGTTGGGTCTTTTTTGCAATTTTGATTAATTATATCCAGATAGAGCCGAGGTGGAGCAGTGGTTAAATGCAGCACTGCAGGCTACTTCAGCTGACTGCAGTTCTGCAGTTCGGCTGTTCAAATCTCACCGGCTC